GGGCTTCACTAACCTTTAGCCATCACTAACACTTAAGAGTCATATAAGGTCACTAATCTGTTAAGCTAGGTAGACTCCTAAGTATGAAGGTGAATGGTTGACATGTACTTGATTTTTGAATTTTCACAAATAACACATAATTCAAGCATGCTAGGGGGAAAAGAGAATTGGTTCAAAGATAAAACACTAAGACTTATAACCATTAAGTTCTCTATTCCTTAATATTTCTCATAACAGTACACTCAACTTTGAATTAATGGTGGATACGTTATAAATCAAATCAATGCATGATTACCATGGTACACAATGAAAAATGAACAAAAGAAAATATTTTTGCCTTTTCTTTTCCAATATTTTTGTATGTTTCTTAATAACATAAGAACTTAGTAATATGCATAAACACACACTTAACAAGGAAAATAAAGCAATTATAATAAATTCTAAGATGAATGTCCAACTAGACATCAAAAATCATTTTGAATTTTGAATTATTTTTAGATTTTTGAGTAAATTAAAATAAACAAATAAAATATGTACAATGTATAACCATAGGGTGTTTGATGTAATGCATGAAAGGTGCACCTAGGTCCATACACTTGCTTCACTTCTTAAGTGACTCAACCTTCTTGGTAGCACTCTCGACTTCCAATTTGGTTTAGGCGATGAGACTCTCTAAGTCCTCTCTATTTACCCATACTTATTTTCCCCTATCTCTAGGATTAGGTTGGGGCATGGGTGGTGGACTAACTCTCTTCACTCTTTGTGTTGTTAAGCCAACTTTGACCTGAGGAGTAGAATGAGCTTTGTTCTTCCTTGCTTTTTAGCCTTTAGGAGGTGAAGGAAATCTAGGCTTTAGAGTCACATGACCTATCCAAAAACCTTGTTAGATGCATGACTTGATAATTTAGGATGCTAGATTGGCTGGCTAGGAAAGTGAGCTTTTTAGACATGACATCCCTATTATGCATGCAATGAATGCTATAGTGATCATGCTCTCTACATGTGAAAAACACCAATTGTTTGGTTGAGGGTTCTACGACAACCAACTTCTTTAAGTGCTTACCTGTAACGCCCCAAATTCCTTAATTTGGGCATTATTTAGCTATAAATCATCCAACAATAAGAGCAACTAAAATCATCTAAAAATATCAAAACCATTCACTATTCATCATAGATAAATAAAATTTTTGAAAAAACTATTTAAAGTAAATTTCTCTAAGTTTCCATTCAAAACATTTAAATAATACTAAATCCCATAATAAGTAACTAACTACCAAATGTTTGTTACATCACCAACTAATTGAATCAAAATTCATCAACTGTGAAAATAACTCTAAACCTCGCTATCAAGATCACCATCTTGATCGACATCGGTCTCAAAATCTACGTGCTCATTCAATTCGATTTTCTCTTCTATGCTAAAATCTATAAATGTTTTTGTAGGGGGTGAGCAAAAGCTCATAGGAAATCCCTCTCAAATTTAAACAAGGTTTTAAAAGAATAAAATAGGAAAGTCTCTTTTGGAAGATACCATATATAATTTTTTAAAGTAAAACAATTTCAATTGTAACAATCTCAAGTTTTTGGAATATAGAAAATTCAATAAGAAAAATAAACATTTAGGAATCAGAGTAAATAAAGAATAATTGTAAAGATTATCTCAAGTATCTCATGGGTGTTGGTTACTTCTTAGGAATCTACACAACAAACATACCTCGTTCACCAACCATAATCACAAACAATTTCAATCATTCCTCATAGGACCACATTACAAACAACTTTAGGAAGGGTGTGTGCTGTCTCATATGACATTGATGAATCTACTCCCAGGAAAGATATATCATCCCTCAGCCTTAGGCCTACATGAACAACAGTGGTTGACCTCTCAAGGAAATAACCCCCTACGCGTTTTAGGCAACCATATCACCCCCACTGGGGAAGACTAAACTCTAGCACTCTACAGTAGCTTTCGAAGGCAATCCAAGTCTATCACACTCAAACCATACGAGAGATAAAAAAACCTTAACTCTTATCAAAATTTGTATACTCCACAAATCACAATCTCCATCAAAATTCATATATCACATTTTTTAATATACAAGAATAATAGAAAGAAAATATGAAAAAGATCATATCAAGAAAACCCTTACAAATTTGATATCACAATTCTAGGGTTGTGCCAAAAAATCTTAATTTCTTAGAGGTAAAACAAGTATTTGATTACAAACCTAGTTTAATCAAAAATTGAAATTTAGAACTCAAGAACTAATGAATTTTTCACATAAAAACATTTATTTAGTAAAATTAGGGTTTTAAAAATCAAGAACAAATAAATATTGTATGAAAACATGTATTTTATTCAAGAATGATTCATAAGTTTTCAAGAAACCAAAACAAGATGATTTTTTATCATAATAATACTATTTAAGAGTAAAAACATACATAAGTAATATTCCTAGCCTCAATAAAAAAANATGCATGACTTGATAATTTAGGATGCTAGATTGGCTGGCTAGGAAAGTGAGCTTTTTAGACATGACATCCCTATTATGCATGCAATGAATGCTATAGTGATCATGCTCTCTACATGTGAAAAACACCAATTGTTTGGTTGAGGGTTCTACGACAACCAACTTCTTTAAGTGCTTACCTGTAACGCCCCAAATTCCTTAATTTGGGCATTATTTAGCTATAAATCATCCAACAATAAGAGCAACTAAAATCATCTAAAAATATCAAAACCATTCACTATTCATCATAGATAAATAAAATTTTTGAAAAAACTATTTAAAGTAAATTTCTCTAAGTTTCCATTCAAAACATTTAAATAATACTAAATCCCATAATAAGTAACTAACTACCAAATGTTTGTTACATCACCAACTAATTGAATCAAAATTCATCAACTGTGAAAATAACTCTAAACCTCGCTATCAAGATCACCATCTTGATCGACATCGGTCTCAAAATCTACGTGCTCATTCAATTCGATTTTCTCTTCTATGCTAAAATCTATAAATGTTTTTGTAGGGGGTGAGCAAAAGCTCATAGGAAATCCCTCTCAAATTTAAACAAGGTTTTAAAAGAATAAAATAGGAAAGTCTCTTTTGGAAGATACCATATATAATTTTTTAAAGTAAAACAATTTCAATTGTAACAATCTCAAGTTTTTGGAATATAGAAAATTCAATAAGAAAAATAAACATTTAGGAATCAGAGTAAATAAAGAATAATTGTAAAGATTATCTCAAGTATCTCATGGGTGTTGGTTACTTCTTAGGAATCTACACAACAAACATACCTCGTTCACCAACCATAATCACAAACAATTTCAATCATTCCTCATAGGACCACATTACAAACAACTTTAGGAAGGGTGTGTGCTGTCTCATATGACATTGATGAATCTACTCCCAGGAAAGATATATCATCCCTCAGCCTTAGGCCTACATGAACAACAGTGGTTGACCTCTCAAGGAAATAACCCCCTACGCGTTTTAGGCAACCATATCACCCCCACTGGGGAAGACTAAACTCTAGCACTCTACAGTAGCTTTCGAAGGCAATCCAAGTCTATCACACTCAAACCATACGAGAGATAAAAAAACCTTAACTCTTATCAAAATTTGTATACTCCACAAATCACAATCTCCATCAAAATTCATATATCACATTTTTTAATATACAAGAATAATAGAAAGAAAATATGAAAAAGATCATATCAAGAAAACCCTTACAAATTTGATATCACAATTCTAGGGTTGTGCCAAAAAATCTTAATTTCTTAGAGGTAAAACAAGTATTTGATTACAAACCTAGTTTAATCAAAAATTGAAATTTAGAACTCAAGAACTAATGAATTTTTCACATAAAAACATTTATTTAGTAAAATTAGGGTTTTAAAAATCAAGAACAAATAAATATTGTATGAAAACATGTATTTTATTCAAGAATGATTCATAAGTTTTCAAGAAACCAAAACAAGATGATTTTTTATCATAATAATACTATTTAAGAGTAAAAACATACATAAGTAATATTCCTAGCCTCAATAAAAAAATTCAAGAAGGAACCCCTACCTCAATCCGATGTTTGAAGATAACTCTGGAGTGTTTGAATCAATTCTAACGCAAGAATCCTTCCCATTCTCCCTCGTTTTCACCCTCTCAAGCCCTCTAGGATTTTCAAGGTTAAAGACTGTTGAATATTGACCTAAAGGATGTCCTTAGGTTAAAAATGTTTTAGGTGACACGGCTTGATCGCTATCAAGTCGTGAACTCACGTTTGAACATCAAATTCACATTCGAACGTGTTCCCATTTTTGCCTGAACTTGAAAGGTAGTTTTGAACTAGATATAAGTCGATTCATAAAATTTTCATGAAATACACTTTTGTAGACCTTGAAAATTAGTTTTTACTATCCATATTTTAGCTAAATCAAACATCAGTGTAAAAATTTGTAGTAACAATACTAAGGTAGTGTCAAATTCTCTTCTACCCGAATTCTTTCTAAATTGTGTTTTTAACTCCTGAATACTTTCAAACTTTTAATATACCTCATATCACTTATTTCAAGGTTTCTTGACCTCCTGAATTCATTTTTGATGTTATTTTGACCAAATACATTTGAAAACTTACCTATCTACTTTTTGCAAGCTTCGATGCTTTCGAGACTAAATTTGACCTTAAAAGTCAATACCTGCCAAACTTAAATTGCCTGATCATTCCTCAACAACAATTCAAAGTTCTTATCATCATTTTTGAAGTAATCTTAAAATCATATTATCCATATTTAAATTTTGTATGGGGTCTTACATTACCTTTACTAATTTTAATATTTATGGGACTTTTGTTCACACGTGGGAGTGATGTGTCTGAATTACCTTTCACAAACATGGTCTTGGATGGAGTGGAGATGGGGTTTTTATTTGTGTAGCCTAAAACACGATGTCACCAACACCCTTTACTATATACAACATTTTTATCTAATTTTTTAGTGCTTAGGATAGTCTTTTATAGAGCTCTTGTGATTCGTGAAGGTCTTTATCATGTTTTATTAGACTCTTCTTACACTCGACAATCCCATAACATTCACTATCTAGGAAGCTCAATTTGTCCTTCATGGACTTAATATCCTCTTCAAGCCCACAATTATGAACTTTGCACTTTACTAAGTTCAGATGGAGTTCTTGTTTTTCATCTTCATTCTTTCGAGCCTTGTGCTCAGCGCATTGCCTATTCTTCTGCTTGAGGAATTCTTCAACTAATTGATCATATGCTTGTTGAATATTCTCAATGCTCTCGATATCATCATCACTTGAGGGGACCTTATCATGTCTTCTATCTCCATGGTAAGACTTGTTCTCTCTGCAACTTCACTCTTCGAAGCTTCTCTAGAGGGAGAGGAACATGATCCAATATGGCCATGAAGTTCTCTTCATCTTCTTGAGAAAAGGAGTGCTCACTTGAGTTTGACTCACTTTCTCTCTCACTTAACTTAGCCATTTTTGCCCTCCTTTTATCTGTGGGTAAATCCTTCTTCTTTCTATTCGGGCACTTCGCAACCATGTGTCCAAACCCTTGACACTACAAACATTGGAGACCTTGCCCTTTCTTCTCAACCTCTTGTCGAGAAGTTATTCTCCTTTTCACTTTTCCCACCTTAGAATTTTTCAGTCGGCTTAACTTCCCTTTCAACCTAGAGGACTCATTAACCTTAAAATATCTTTTGAACTTTTTTGCAAGACAAGCTACGTCCTCCTCTCCAAAGTGAGGTGACTCAAATTTATCTCCTCCATCTCAAATAGAATTCAATGCCACACCGTATGAATTCTTGGGTGGAAGGAGATTCATCTCAAAAGTAAAAATTGACCCAACTAGGTATTCAATCGACACCTTACCCAAATCGACTTCAGTTTATATGGTTGTCATCTTAGCTTGAAACCTCTCTGGTAGAGATCTCAAATATCTTCTGATTTAGCACAAAGTCCTCATATTTGAACCCAAGAGCAAATGATGAACTGAGACTGTCAAAAAGTTTAGCGTACAAGTCACTAAAAGTTTCATCCTCTAACATCCTTAAGGTTTCAAATTGGGTGATGTACCTTTGGAGTCAAGCTATCTTTACTAAGGGTGTACCTTCATGACAAACCTCGAGAATATCTCACGCTTCATTGGAAGTCTTAGAATTGGAGATCCTAAGGAACTCATTTGGGAAGACAACATTGAATATCACATTCAAGACTTTAGAGTTCCACCCCAACAAATAATAATTGGCTTTTGTTCAAGTATTGTGGGGTTTTAGTTCAATGACCTGCTCACCACTTTTAACAGAGGTAGTGACCATTGGAGGGCTCCATTCCTCTTTCATGTACAACCACACTCGCTCATCAAGTGATTTTAGAAAATCTCTCATATGAGCCTTCCAATAAGCATAATTCATCCCATTGAAATACGGTGATCGGGTTACTGAACCTCTTTCTCTTTAAGAATCCATTAAAGGTCTAACTCGTAGTCACAATAGATTCCAAAAAGACAAACACTAGGTAATGTAAGCAAATATGCACTGTGTGTCTATTAAGGGCCTAAAACAATCTTAAAGGGAGACCCACTATGATACCAATTGTAAGGATAAACATTACCCTTATGCAGAATGGATCATCACTCATGAAGACAAACCTCTTCTTAAAATTCAATTAGTCAACAAAGTTTAGAACCCCTTTAAGAAAGAACAAACAAAAGAACCATGAAGGTTGATGTGATGGATTTGTCAATTTTAATGCACAACACTCAATCTCTCATGGTGATCTGACCCAAGGTAAGAAACAACCACCAAAACATTATGTATGATATGAATTCTCTAACAATCAAATCAATAAAAAAATAATGCCCCGTGTTGGCTACAAATCACAAATGCGAACAACTATAACAATAAAGAACACAAACAATGTGTTGATGCGAAAACCTATCTAAAAAAAACCACGGGAAACCACTCAGGATTCATTAAAGCCTAATCCACTATCCGGAAATCAGTTTACAAGTACTCAAGATTTATACCTCAACTAGTACTATGGTTAGACACTCATTTCCTTCAATAAATCTCTTTGCCAAAACTCCCTCTTCAACGTTATGGATAGCTTCTGTAACACCCCGCATTTTCTTTTATATATGTATATAGATATATAGTAAATAATTGTTGTAAAAATGGGGATATGTGTAGTGATGTGTGTTTGAATTTGGTAGAATGAAAAAGGGATGAACAGTGCACTGGCTGTAACATCAAGCTCGATTTCGACCTTGATGCAGTCCATATCTCTCAAAACTTAAAACATGAAATTTGTAGAGCTCTCTCTTAGGATTCCATATCACCTTGAATCATCTCAATCGGAACTAGGAGGAAGGAGTTATGTCCATATTACGAAGTAGTGTCTACACTGTCCAAAAATCTGTCCGGCAGACTACCTTTCGCTAATTTCATCATAACTCTTTATTGGAAAGTCCGAATTGTGTACCGTTATTTTTGTTAGAACCCTAACTCGTATATCTTTCCAACCATATAGGTTACACCTCCTA